GCAGCAGCAGCAGCAGCAGCAATTCTACAGCAGCAACCGCAGCAGGAACGACAGCAGCAGCAGCAGCAGCAGCAGCAGCAAATAGTGGCTGTCGCCCTGTCTGTCAATGCTTTTACAATTAATAACTAAATGTGCTGCAGCAGCAGCCGCAGCAAATAAACAATTCATTTTTAAATTGTAAATAAATAGTTTCGACGGATTAAAAAAACACAGGTGGCTAGCTAGCCACTCACAGCTAGCTAGCCAATCACAGCTAGCCAGCCAATCACAGCTAGCTAGCCAATCACAGCTAGCTAGCTAGCCGTGTAGCTAGCTAGCTAGCCAGCTAGCTGGCTTTTTAGCTAGCTCCGTAACTAGCTCTTAAGATAGCTCTCGGGCTAGCTGCTTCTCTAGCACCTGGCCAGCTAGCCAGCTAGCTAGCTAGCTGGCGGCCCAGCTATAAAGCCTGCTGGCTACCAGCTGGCTAGCCAGCCAGATAGCCAGCTAGCTAGCCCGCTAGTCAGCTGCCCAGATATCCAGCTAGCCAGCCAGCTAGCAAGCAAGCCATCCGGCAAACCACCCAGCTAGCTAGCTGGCTAGCTAGCCAGCTAGCTAGCCAGCTAGCCACCCAGATAGCAAGCCAGCTAGCTAGCCACCCACGCAGCAAGTCACCCAGCCAGCTAGCCAGCTAGCCGGCTAGCTAGCTAGCTAGCTGGCTAGCTAGCTAGTTGGCTAGCTAGCTAGCTAGTTGGCTAGCTAGCTAGCTAGCTAGCTGAGGCGACGGGGCTGAGGGGCTGTTTGCTGTGGGTGGAAGAGGCCGGAGAGGCCCAGGCTTGGGGGAGTGTTTTGAGTTCGAAGCGATCTGGCAAAAAAGGGTTTTGTTTCATTTTGAATAAATCGAAAAAAAGGAACTTTTGAAGTTGCTGCCACTCCTCCTGAGTGGCGTACTGCTGCTGCTGCTGCTGCTGCTGCTGCTGCTGCTGCTGCTGCTGCAGCTTCGCCTTCAGCTTGTTTTTCGTCTTGGCGCAAAAACGAAACAGAAAGTTCGAAGGCACGTGCCGGTACAAACAAGTCAGTTTGTAAATTGTTCCTGAATTAAAATAAATAAATAAAGAAATAATTAATTAATTAATTAATTAATTAATTAATTAATTAATTAATTTAATTAATTTAATTAATTAAATTAATTAAATTAATTAAACCAACTTGCCTGGCTTGAGGTTCTTGACTGTGACTTTCGTGGGCGATGCTGCAGCAGCAAAAAAGTTCACTGCCAGTTTGCTGCTGCTGCTGCTGCTGCTGCTGCTGCTGTCCTCCAGCAGCAGCTGCGCGCAGCAGCTGCTGTTGACTCGCAGCGTTACGCTGCAGCAGCAGCAAACAAACAAAATTTTAATTTCAATTATTTCAAATTAAATTAAAATAAATTTAAAATTATTTAATCCAATTAATCTGAAATTCAAAACTCCAAATTCCACTTTTAATTGTTAATTTATTTATTTATATTTGCTCTTCAAATCCTTTTCATATCTACTTGCCACAAAAACTAAACAAATAAATAAATCAAAAATAAATAAATAAATAAATAAATAAATAAATAAATAAATAAATAAATAAATAAATAATAAAATAAATAATAAATAAATATTAATGTAAAAATATGCAAGTACATAAATAAACAATGTTTGAGGAGATAGTATATAAATAGACGCAAATATAAAAAAATAAAATAAATATGTTAATATATAAATATACAGATATTAAATATACAACAAATATAAATATATGCAAGTATATAAATATGCAAATATATAAACATGCAAATATACAAATGTATAAGTATTTAAATGTAAAAATCGATAAATATAAATATACAAAATATAAATCCGTAAATATATATGTATATCTATATATAATATATATATATATGTAAATATGTAAATGTATAAATTTATTTATGTAAAAATACATTTGTATATAAATTTATAAATATATATTTATATATATGTAAATATAAAAATACATAATATATGGATTTATAACTATATGGATATAACAAATATACAAATGTAAATATATATATATATATACGTATAAATATATGAATAGATAAATATATGTGTACAATATATATATATATATACATACACAAATAAATATATGAATAAATAAATAAATATATACAAAAGAATACATAAATATGTAAATATATAAATATATAAAAATATATATAAATATATATATAAATATCTATATAAATATATAAATAAGTGTATAAATAAACATATAAATCTATAAATATGAAGAAAAAGATCACTTTTGGCGAATTACCCCGGAAGACTATTATTGGATTTATTTATAATTGTTTTTCATTTATTTATTTTCATCGAATTATATTTATTTATTTAAATTTATTTATTTATTTATTTAAATTTATTTATTTGTTTATTTATTTATTTTTTATTTAATTTTCTCACTCTGCAGTAAATCGATTTTTGATTTCTATAAAAGGCGCCGCTGTCAG